GGGTGGTGTTTCTGGTCCTTCAATGTATTTGTAAAGCGAATGGGAGAGAAAGGGAGTATGGTTGGGCAGCAGTGGCATTGATATGAAATGACAAAGAGGTAGAAGTCTTTGGCATCAGACCCAGACTGCTCAATCTCTTTAGTCTCTTCATGTTTAGCTGACCCAGGGGAGTGGATGAAAGTCCAGACAACACAGTTGATGGAGGTTGATAGGGGAAAGGGTATAACATCCGCCTCTTATTGAGATGGAGCCCTTAGTTAAGGGAAATTGCAACATGGAATTCTTGGATTCTCACTGGTAGCAGCACAGGTAATATGATGCATTCTCCCCATCAGTATCTATCTGAAAAAATGGCAAAATTTTATCTTATACATGCATCACATCCCAGGCATCTGCATGCTTCTCTCTGCCAGTGTAGACTATTACAATACATTGTATGTTGAGCCTAAACTTAAAAGTCAGACTGGAAACTGCAACTGATTCTGAATCCAGATTCTTGGTCTCCTAGCTACAGAAGGAGTGTGTACACACATTCTCCAGAGTTGACACTGGCTTCCAGCTGCTTCTAGATGAAAAAGATATGGATTTTGTATTTTGATCTATGATGTTCTGTACTGCTATGGATTTTACTCCCTCTCTCTGCATCATGACACCACCTAGGATCAGCTTCTGTGCAGGGTTTCTAGGCCATAATGTCTGGAGGCAGGGGTTTCTGAGTGGAGGGCATTTAACTCTAGCTCTTGCCTCCCTCCTTGGTCTGACAGAGTCAAACTGCTTCAGTGGAGAGGCTGTGCTGTAAGGGTCATCTGCTTTCTCAATTTTTTGGTAGACATTGCGGGAAGAATTGTATCACAATTTTCAGCTGAGACCTCTCTTTTAGTAAGATGATATGTACTGTGTTTCTATACATTTTTGCAGATGCATTCAGAGGGTGGCTGCATTTTAACATACCCAATAAAACCTTGAAAATACACACAAACACACTTTAAAAAGACAGATGTACCCACACAAGCACGCCTACACACAGAAACACACATACAAACAAGCACACACATACAGTGCCAACACAGATACATGCACACAAACAGGCGCACCAGCTCACATATACAGTATGCACACACAACCACACAGCACAAACATACCCGTACCAGTGCGCGCGCGCGCGCACACACACACACACACACAAAGAAAGGCACAAGAGAGCACACTGAGCTTAGGCACGCACAAATTCAAAACACACACGCGCGCACACAAGCAAACAGGGGCACAGAAGAGGACACTTATTTTAGGCATACACAACACACACAAGCATCCATGCTCACAGTTGTGCTGAGGCAGAAACACACACACAATATGTGTGTGCAAATATACACTCAGATGTATGCTCTACAGATACATACAGTAGAACACACAAAAATACATGTAGTCACAGATGTCCATAGCCACGCACAACACACAACCATCTGGCACACATACAGTTGGCTGCTGCGTGGTTCCCACATCGACATGTGGTGTCTCCTCCTTCTGTCCCTTCTGAGAAAGAAAAATTAATGGGTTCAGTCCACCTTAACCTTGCAGGGACTCGCATTCATACACGCAGTCCCATGTACGCGCATAGGCAGTAAAACACAATTCAGAAAGCCTGTACTCCCATACCTACACCATGAATGCACCACCTGCATAATTATGTTCAAAGGGACAAGTTTTCATTTCACTGCTCAAACATCTATAAAGACATATAGAAATCATTCAGCAAATACATCCCACAAACAAAAGAACACATTCACCTGCAGGCAGACAGATTTGTATGTGGATATGCACACAACATGGTTGTAGACATGAATCTAAGTGGGTAGGTGTTCCGACATAAGAGGCATATAATAACATTGTATATATACAGACGCAGGTATGCACTGAAGTTTAAGTACAAAATACATGATTTTATATACAGTAAGGGTGCATCTACACTACAATCAGGGCTACAATCAGGGCTTTCATTACCCAGGGAGGCATACCAACACACCAGATTTTATCAAGCTACCACAGGTAACAATGGCAGTGTAGACACAGTGCCATGGCTTCAGTGTGGGCTGTGCAAGCCACCAAGGACTTTGCCTGTACTTATACCTTATAGGCCCCTTTAAACTGCTTTGACAGTGTAAAGGATTTCTAAAGTGGGTGTAAATGTCATTTATACCAGCATTAAGGGCAGTAATGACAATCAGACCTACAGGTTTACTGTACGTGTACAGATCTTATAATCAAACTAAAGGAGATATGCAAGAAATATGTACAAAAATGTACATATTCTGCCAATGCATATACAAATCATATATAGTGTATATATGTACAATATAAGCAAAAGACTATATGAATATGCTCATCATCAGGTACCATGATATCAACCTGCTTTGCAATCATAAAACAAAGGTACAGAGCCAGGCAAAGAAATATTCAGTCGCAGAGGCCCACATGGTGTCAAAATGACTAATATTCACACACATGCAAATCTCAATACAGATGGTTACAATTATATCTGAACACAAATGCAGATGCAAACAGTGCATGCAAATGGATAACAATGGGACTATTCCTCTGTAAAGTGTAAAAAACAACACATGCGTGCATTTAAACACATTCTGCACATCAGGCACCAACATGCATACAAATCCATCTATGTGGGAAGCACTCACATGCCAAACAACCAAATCCATCCGCATTAATACCCAACACATTATGCTTATAAACTTGTCTATATGATAGGTGTCCATATAAAATACATTCTCAACTATCCACATAGTAGATACCCACAGACCACACACAAAAAACCCATGCATATGACAGGTACCCACATACAAACCTACTGATGTCCAAACTCATTGCCCGCAGGCAGATGGTCTTTCACACTTTCACCCTACATTCCAACATCTTTCTATCATTAGTTCTGCTCCTTCTCAGCCTTGTTTACACATGATTTTATTTCCACCATTCCTACCACTAGTTCACTTTCACTAGGGCTACCAAATATGGGAGTGCTAAGATAGCCAAGACACAAGTGATTACCTGGAGATCTGACTTCATTAGGATTCTGTTTGTTTGTCTGTACTAATAGAGCTACATTTAACTGGCAGAAGAAATGGATGGAAAATGTCATTGCAACACTTTTCAGTCAGAAAATGCTGTTTTGATGACAAAACATATGGATCGTATGTTTTGAAATTGAAGTCATATGGATTTTGGTAACATTTTGTTTAGAAAGAAACTGCAAAAAAGTTCTGAAAATGTCAATGCATCCCACTTTAATGGTGGCAGAACATGCTGCTTAGATATTTCAGCGACAATTTTATTTTATTTATTTTGTATAAGAGGAGGAAAAACTCTTATAGAAGTTCACTGCCATGAACTCACTCTAATTTATTCATTTGTCAATACGCTTATTCCACGTGTGACCTCTTTCTCCCACTTTCCTATTTCTGTCCATTTCCTAATTTCTGCTACAATCTAAATCAGGGTGTTCAATCCATGGCCTGCAGGTCAAATAGCCATGTCATCTGGCCTGCAAGGCTCCTCAAAGGTCCAAAAATTTGGCAGCAAGGGAACTGTAGACACTCCCCTGTTGCCAAATTTCTCAGGCCAGACAGCATGGCCTCGTGCACTATAGATAGGTGTGCAGGGCCCAATCCAGGTGTACAGGACCAGGCAGAACTGACACAGAGACAATCTAGGCACCGAGAGGCCAGGCCGAAGTGGCATGGGGCCTGATCCGGGTGTGCAGAGCCGAGGGGAGGTGGTTTAGAGCCAATCTGGCCTGTAGACCAGCCCTGTGACCCTCATCTAGCCCACAGGGCTCAAAGGCTGGGCACCACTGGTCTAAATCCTTTAGTCTCTTCCCTGTATCTGTGTCTCGAAGTCTATCGATAGTACACCGTATACAGCCAGTGCCCAGATATCTTCAAATTGGCAGCTAGCTCTACCTCCCAGAGCTTGTCGCAGAAGTAGATGTTTGTTTCTGAGGTCTCTCTCCATACTCCTCAACCAGTATAATCCCTTCAACCTGCACAGGTGTCACTGGCAGTCCCTTTCTCAGAGAACAGATGGTTTTTACATTACCTCTGGCCTAGCTGGACACAGAAAATGCTCAAAATCTGTCCAGGACCCTGATCCTGTGACAACCTGAGCCTGCTGCTACAGACCAGTTAGTTTGGAGATTTTCTAGCAAAAGAATAGAACTCAAGTGCTTATTCCAACCCATTCGAACAGAGTTGGCAGGAGGATGGGAATTCTGTTTCATGAAGAATTCTTAAATTTACCTTTATTTTAAAACATAACAAAACTATTTTAGAATCATTTCCCTTTTTGATACATTGAACTGTTTTGCTTTAACAAAAGTTAAAACATCACATTTTCATTCTGATTTTTTATTTTTGTTATGTCAGACTATAACATTAAAATATAAAATAAAAAACACATTTTAAAATAAATAATAACTTTGTGTTCAAATATATATATATAGCAATATATATAGCAATGGGACAATTTAACATTGTTAGAACTTTTTATTTGCAAAATTGAAATTTCAACAAAATCAACATGATTTTGTGAAGTTTTTTGATTGCTATGATATTGCATTTTCTGATGGAAAAAGGTTGTCAGACACTATGTCTAAAGCTCATCTTATAAATATCCCTTTCTTCTTTGTTTTCCAGCACTAAAATATCCCTTTTCTACCATTAAAATGGTGTCCCTACTGGCTGGGCACATCTACTTTTACCATAATGGAACTGACAGCAAGAAGTGACTGATCACATCTACTTTCCCCATAATGGAACTGACAGCAAGAAGTGACTGAAGTATCCCTTTCTTTAGCCGTGCAGGCCTCTTTCCCCTCTCATGTTGGAGGGCTTTGGCTTCTGACTTCATGCTCTAGGGAGATTCAGAGATGAGAGACTTCTCTGTGGTATTTATTTCATATACAGACTGTGCAATTGCAGTGTGTGGGACAGCAAGTGCAATTGGTAACCACTATTTCCTGTTGATTTAGCTACCACCTTGCAGTCATTAATATCACCATCTAACAGCTCCTGGTCCTTTAATTTTGGTCTAAATCCACTATGTTGCTTCAAACCTGTCAATGACAGGTGCTACTACCCAACAAAAGAGCCACATCCATGCATTATCTGTACACTAGATTTCCACTAAGATATAAACACCCCACACAGGTGTTGCTTCCTCACATAGACCCCTTCCTCTTTCATGACACGTGGTTGCTACCATAAATAGTTTATGGGTGAGCAGAGGTGGCTGTCAACAAAGTGCACTGGGAGACTCACTCAACAGTGGGCATGTTTGGGGCAGACATCGGGCTGACTTCCTTGGCTTTCTGCAGGGCGTGCTTCTGGTTAAAAGCCTCCTCCTCCTCCTGCTCATCCTAAACATAGAATAAATTGGGTTATTACATGGGAATACAAGGGAATTCAGATGTTCTGAGGGATCTGCATGGCTGTGTTAGATACAAGGCACTGAACACCAGTTTATGAGCAGTGAACAAGAAAAGGAGAAAGAGGAGATTCTGGGTGAGGCAACAAGCTTCATAGTTTCATAGTAGCCAGGGTCAGGAGGGACCTTAACAGATCATCTAGCCTGACCGCCAGTGATACGGGAAGCCTTTGGAATTTCTGGATGCGGCTTTGATTTTTGCTGAAACCATAATAATGTGGTTTCCTCATTTTACCACATCATTTCTAGGGCTGAAGAGGCTTCTCACTAAGACAATTTCCACAGGAGTGCATTATATCACCAGGGATCCTGGTTTTCCCTGATAAAAAAAAAAATCACAAATTCTCTGATAAAAAATAACACATTCTCTGATAACCCCCGCCCAAATCGGTGATTAAAATGAAAGGCCCCCCAATGCCCCTCCAGCCCTGCTACTGGTGCCCCTCACCCCCCCACCCTCTGGTCCTGCTTGTGCCCTTTACTCCCCTTCCACAACCCCCACAGCTCTTCTGGTACCCTTCAACCCCCCCC